ATAGTTATATAAAATCATTTATTGATTTTAGATAATTGTGACAGGAATGCTATGTCACCTTTTTGCTGAATCATTTGTTTAATGTCTTAATCAACTGTTGCACCATGTGCTTCTTTTTAAGACTGATATTTTTCTTAGTTGCTAATCAAACCTCCCAATTTTAGATAGATCAAATCCCTCGTTTCGCCATCTGAAATTAGTTTTTATAGACTGGACTTTTGAATAACTTTACAAGCTATCTTTGTGGGAACGATATCTTGTACTTGTACCATTATTACTTGTTACGAGACGACAGTAGTTCAAGGTGTATACTTGCACCGAGTTCTATTTTTGTGTTGAAATCTAAGGTTGAATAAACCGACGAGCAATGGTTCTCCAGCATCAACGCTTGGACGAAATCTCTGGCTTATACTCTCAAGTCTTAGCCAGAGAGGGGGAGATGAGGTCCAACGCTGCTGGACCATCTGATGCTGCTGTTGCTCCTGATCCTACTGTTGCTCCAGCATCTGTTGCAGTTGAAGCTGAAGCTGAAGCTCCTAGAGCTGAAGCGGTTGCTGCTTCTGTAATCCCGACCACCGAAACTGTTTCAGTTGAGGTAGTCGACGCCATCCCTAGGGATGATGCTCCTTCCATCGCCGTTGCTGGTGATGATGATGATGATGATGATGAAGACGAAGATGATGATGATGAACCAACCATCCCAGACCCTGGAAGTGACCTAGATGGTGACGACGACGATGATGATGAAGATGACATTACCATCAAGTATCAAAAGCCATCAACCGCCACCAAGGGTGTCACCCTCATGGATTCTGAATCGTAGGGCGAGAAAAGGGAAGGAGAGTCTGCTCCATCAAGGAACCAGGACCCTAAGTCAAAAGGCAAGGTGGTCGCTGAAAAAGGAAACCTGAAGGTATTGTTTAATATCCCTCAACAACCCTTATTTGAAGACTCTACCTCTCAGGTAGTAGTCACTTTTTTGTATCAACTTCAAATTCCATCAACCACCTGCGGTCGACTAGAGTGGGTCCCTGAACACCCCGTCTCCAGTGCTCCCACCGACCAGCTAAAGGAGTCACTCGACCATACTAGAGTAAAAATTCCTCTTCATACCTCTAGTGGTGGTGAGTTCGACTTTCTTTCTGAAGATGAAAGACTCGAGGCATTAAGAGCTGAAGAAGAGCTAGAGCTTCAAAAGAAGTAGACTGAAGACAGCATAAAGCTGGCCAAGTCACTAGCTGCGAAGATTCTCCCCAAGAGAAAGTCCAAGAAAAAGGTTAACGTTGTCCAAGCCCAAGCTAAACTTCTTTCCATTGCAGAAGCTGAGCATGAGAAGAACCTGAAGCTGGTGGAAAAGGACAAGTGGTGGAGCAAAGCAAAGCTGAAGAATAGAATCATTCCCCGCCCGATTATCAACGTCAACGTCAGCGGATGTTCAAAAGACAGTGGAACACTGGTCTCAATGCTCATCACCAGGGACAATCTCGATGCCATCACCGAGTACCCTTCTTACCTTGGCCGATATGGATACAGCGAATGGATGGAGATCAGGCAAGCCATTCAGCGATCCAAGTCAAGACATGAGGCGATTATCGAGGACACCATTAGCGATCTCATGAAACGGATGTCCAGGTATGTCGCAGTCCCTAACATGCCATCTCTGAAGAAAGATGGGAAGAAGAAACTCAAGCTCTCTGATCCTAATGATGGACCATTCCTAAGGAACGAACATGAAACAAGGTTCTCCTTAGATGAAGTCTTGAAGGGTCATCAGAGTATAAACATTTCTATGCTGAATCTTGACTTGCCAGATAAGCGTCCCTATACACCCAATGCTGTGCATTTTAGATCATAATAAGAAGAATGTTAGAAATTTAACTTGAAGATTTTAATAAGTCTTAAAGTGCTTAAAGTGTCAAAATTTCAAAAGGGATTCAAAGAGTACAAATTCTTTCAAGCCTGAATCCAAAGGGGGAGAAGGTTAGGATTGAATTTTAGTGTTAATTGTATTCGTCTTGAAAGTCTTTATTTATATTTCTAGTAGGTTTGACTTTGTAAGTCATTGTTTGAGTTTGACTTGTGCTTTTCTAGTTTGACCTATAAATAGGTCTTGTAATGGAAGTTTAGTTGTTAGGAGCTTAATTGTAATATTACGTGTAATTGTGTTTTAGAGAGAAATAATATACTCATTGACCAAGTTGACTTTTTCTCTCAAATGTTCTTACATGAAGATTGCCATTCACATTGTTCTTAATGATGATTCATGAAGATTGATCATAGATTGAGACACACACTCCTACACACAAAGGACAAACCCTTACCTCTCAAATTAAAGAACTCGTACGGAGTCACTCTATTGTCTCCAAATGTGCTCCCCTACTTTTTGAAAGATTACTGTTCATTTACGACAAAAGCCTGTATATTTAAAGACAAAGGACAAGCTCACCTCTAGAAGTTTGCCACATGCCTTGTACTGTCTGATTTGCATTTAATGCAATGGTATAATAGCTGAGAAGCTCCTCTTTCTTAGTAACACTAAGCCAAGAAGCTTATATCTTGAGGATCAACTTTCTACCCAAGAAAGGACTTCCTCACAAGTACATATTTCTTAATCTTTCGAAATTATCTTTACTTCAAGTGAAGAACACCAACTAGGCTCTTTAGCAAAATTATTATTTCTTCATTTAGCAAGTCTTTTCTTTTTAGCTTTCTGTATTTTGTGTGTTCCCTAGATTATTTTAAATAAGTTATGTATCTTATTTTATTCTGCAAACAATCTGTAAATTATGTATTGATCTTCTTTATCAATAAAGGATTTTAAAAAGTGAAAACTGATTTGTTTGTATTCATCCCCTCATTCCTTCTACAAATTGTTACTTCTAAACTCTTGTAGATACGTCTCGGACCAACAGAACTATTACTTTTGCATTTAGTAAAAGATTATTTATAACTTATCAAAATTTATATATTGTTACTCTAAATTAATTATGATAACATAATTACCAATATAAAACTAAGACTTTATAGAAAGAACACTAAGGGGTTGTTTGTTCTAAAAAAAAAACTAATGTCCTCTTAAATCTGAATGAGTCAAACATAAAAAGATTTAAAGTGTTTTTTTTTCAATTAAATGCTTAAAAGTTGTTGTTAGGTCTGAAATGAATAGGAATTGAGAATCCTCTTATCTCTTATTTCAAATCGTCGCCTTCCTGCTCTACCCATCCTTCCTGCTCTACCCATCTGTTTGCGCTCGACTTCCCTGGATAAGCTCTCGATCTCTCATATCTCATCTCTCAACTCTCAAGCTCTCAATCTGTCTCACAAGCTCTCGATCTCTCATCTCTCATCTCTCAAGCTCTCAATCTGTCTCACAAGCTCTCGATATCTCATCTCTCAAGCTCTCGATTTAAGGTATCCATCTCGATTTCAATTCTTCTTTGATTTATGCAGTCTTCTTTGATTTATGCGTCTTCTTTGATTTCTCGAGCTAAATGGGTTTGATTTCTGCGTCTATGCTTGCTGAAGATACGAATTACTTGACTTGTAGCTACACAAATACATAATAAAGTTACTGAATCCTTGCTATAGATGACCTAATAAATTGATTGGATGGATCAAATGAGGGCTGGAAATGTCACATAGTAGGTAGCAGAATGAAGGCGTTGAGTTGGTGCTTTCCTGCTATTAATATAAAGTACAACCACTCGATTAGTTTACAAAACACAGAACATGATTTCTTCTTTGTCTGTCAGCAACTTTGTTTGCATTTTGGTCCCCATTGAAACATGTTGGTGTGTTAATCTTCAATGATCGGAGTGATGAAGGCAATTCATCATACAATGTGGGTAGTAGTGTCTTCTTAAGTATATTGCCCTTTATTCATGTAAGTGTGAAGAAGAGAAATCAAACAAGGTTTAAATATGATTTATGGGTTCAGTATATTTGATTTGGTTGAATGCTATGTTAAAAAAATAGGTTGAGAATAGGTAATGGGTTTTGAAATGGAAACAAACATAATGGGGTTTTACTTTCAACAATGAAACCAGGCTTGAGTATGATTTTGGAGAGCTTCCATCAGGTGGTCATATGAAGGTCAGTGCTGTTTGGAGAACATCTCTGGCCCAGAAGTTACAAAAACCCATAAATTCACAATTATTTAGTTTTTTGGGTTTTTTATCAGAGGTTTCATTTTATTCAACACCTGGATTCATTTGATTTGCTTGTTTATGATATGGGTGCTTGATATAATCATGCAACAAGATTGATCTACAAAACCTAAGTTTAAAAATGTTGTGTGATGATTTTTTGCAAATGTTGTTGTATATAAATGATTTTTTGCAAATGTTGTGTGATGATTTTTTGCAAGATTGATCTAACCAGTACACATCAGATCATGTGCCAGCTTGTAGACATTCTCACAAAGCCATTATGAAGAAAAATTGAAACTGTAATTTCTCAAGTAGTAAAAAATTGAAACTAGCAGCCTTTTTTGTTCTAAGTGGAACCTATTCTGATAAGAACATCAATGTTTAATATTCAGTGGAATGTTTATGTATGTAACTTCATTGCAAAAAATAAACTATCTGCTATTTAGGCTACTTTCTGACAGACTATAGCATGTGAAGACATCATGATTTGGGCTGTATGTTTGATCTAGTACAAGGTCTTGGTGTAAGCAATGTTATTGAAAGGGTCTTGGTTTAAGCAACGTTGATGGTGATCTTGATTTATGTGATGTTCCAGTAGAATGCCTCATTGGTATCACCTCACATAAAAGATTGTTGCTAAACAACCTGTAAATCAAGAGTCTTCACTGATGCAACACAAAGCTATATGGCAAATAGGCTTTACTTTTAATTTCTTTTTGATAATTTTATATCCTGCTAAATGTTGACTACAAAATTCAAGTTGCTTTTAATTTCTATTTTGGAATTTTATATCCTGCTTAATGTGGACTACATAATTTAAAGCCTACAAGCTTTTTGTGCTTAAAAATGAGGGTGGTGTAAGGTTTACTTATGGATGGGCACCTTAAAAATTACATTTGTGGTTTTGCTTTCTATTTTGCAATATGTGATTTTTTTCCCCGTATGCTAATTAGTGATGGGCGAGAATCTGTGTGTGAGGTGGACCAATGAACTTACCAAACGCTTTTTAGAGACCTGTATAGAAGAGGTCAATAAGGTGGGACGAAACAGAGGTAGTCTTCATAAAGAGCCTTGGGTGAAGTTGGCAACCATACTTGAGAAAGTGTGCCATGTCAAACTCACCCAAAAGCAGTTGAAAAATCAATATGATTATTTAAAGGGAAAGTATTCGGGATGGGTGTACTTAAGAAATAGAACAAGTAATATTTATGACCCAGAAATGAATATGTTCACCTTAACCAATCAAGAATAGGAAGATCTCTTCAAGGTTAGTTTTTTTTTTTACCTTTTTACATATTAAAGACAAAGCACGAGTATTATATAAATAATAATACTTAATTTGGATGAAGAGACATCCAAAAGCAAGAACATTAAAGACATCACCATTGATATACCCTGAATTATGTATAGCTTTGTTCGAGGGGACTTCTGCTACCGGATCTCGTGCTTATGCCCCTAATTCAACCCGTGAGAGGACTACGATTTCATCATCATCATTTACATCCAATATCCACACTACTCAAGATACTGAAAATGAGGTGGATGGAGATGAGGAGAAAGGACCAACTGTCAATAAAGCGAGCACAATTCCGTCTAGACCAAAGAAGAAGAGTAAAACCAAGGTCGACATGGATGAATTGGCTTTAGAAATGAGGGGTGCACTTCAAACACTTGTTACACAACAAACCACACTTGTTGCACAACAAACTGGACTTGTTGCACAACAAACCTCAAACCTGAATGCTTGTATTGAACGGTTGGACACTCTTGGCCTTGATAAAAGGAGTCCTCTTTATGGTGCAACCATTGACATTTTTGGGCAGTCAACATTATTAAGAGAGACATGGTTGATGATCCCTTCAGACGCTGATATATTAACATCATGGATTTCAAGGACGGCAAGACGAATGGGGCTCATGGATTAGTTTTAGGAATTTGAACAAGTTACTTCGTTATGTGATTTGTATTTGAACATGTTATTTGCTTATGTGTTTGATATTTGACAATTTGGTTACATGTTTTGGATGTTGAACTAGTTGTTATTTGGTAATGCATTTGATATCAAAGTTTACTTCTATTTGATATTTTATTTAAGTTTTTAACAGGTTTATCATGGATAATAATCAAATCATCATTAATAGTAATAACACTATACTTCTCATCGTCGTATTTTTATATATGTTCTATTTGCGACAAAGGCATTTAAAAAGGAAAAGAGATAATATGTCTGCAATGACTGGACGTCAATTTACGAATGAGTTACTTGAAGGTAGTGATCGGCAATGTATTGACTTGTTGCGAATGTCCCGTGAAGATTTCATTCGATTATGTGATCACTTTAAAGCAAAAGGTTGGTTAACATATAGCAAACATATATTGGTCGAAGAAAAGATGGCTATCTTCCTGATGATTGTAGGTCACAATCAACGTTATAGAGTGTTGAAAAACAGGTTTCAGCACTCAACACAGACAATTCATAAATTTTTTCATGAAGTGTAAAATGATGGAGTTTGCAAAAGAGATCATAGTTCCTACATCATTCAATCCTAATCCAGACATCCCTGGAAATAATAGAAGGTTACGACGAATATTTAAGGTAAATAATAATTCGATAATAGTTGTATAACTTTCCTTACTAAATTTATTTTGACTATTTAGCTTTAATATAAGGAGCAATTGGCGTCTTGAATGGAACTTTAATACATGCTATCGTCCCTATTCAAGAGCAACATTTATCTAGAGGACGAGGAAATGGTGAATGTTATCAAAATGTTTTGGCAATTTGTGATTTTAACATGGTTTTTACATTTGTTGTTGCCGGATGGGAATGAATTGCACATGATTCTAGAATTTTGTTTGAAGCTTTAACAGATGGTGCTATTGGATTTTCATTTCCTCCTTTAGGTATACTATTGATTTTACAGGTAATATATTTGCTATATTCATTTGACCAAGCATTTTATTTATTGTTTTCAGATAAATATTACCTGTGTGATGTTGCATATACAAATACTCGAAGATTTATGGCGCCGTATCGTAATGTTAGATACTGGCTCGGAGATTTTCGTCGTCGACGAGCAATGAACAAGTATGAAAAGTTTAATCATTCTCATGCAAAACTTAGAAATGTTGTTGAACGTTCTTATGGCGTCCTGAAATCACGTTTTCCAATATTGAAAAGAATTGCACCATTTACACTTGAGGTTCAAAGAGACGTTATTGCATGTTTTGCGGTTCACAACTTCATACGGAAGGAAGGTTTAAGTGAKRAGYTATTTTCTGAGTATGATCAAACCAACAAACAAGGGAACGATGACGAGGATGAGGCTGAAGAGATTCAATCGCATGGGAGTGCCGCTGACCAAACATATATGGCTAGTTTAAGAGAAAAAATTGCGACACAATTAATGCAAAATGAATATTGATTCTAGTTATTATGAGACTTTGTTGGTGTTTTCTATTGTGTTGAATCAATTGACGTATTTCAATTGAATTTTTGAATGTGTTAAAAATATATGGTAGTTTACAAATGGTTTAAATGATTGGATATTTTAGTTAAATTTAATTGGAATGAATTGATTTAAATTTCAGACTTCAGAAGTTTGTCAGTTTACAAAAACAAACAGTCTTATTGATTCAGACTTCAGACGTAAAAACAAACAGTCTGAATGATTCAGATTTCAGACTTTACCACCACCTCTTAAAAATTAAAAATGAATTCAGGCTTCAGACTTCAGCAACTTTTAAAAAACAAATGTCACCTAAAATTTAGAGAGAATATAATATCACTTATTCAGGATATCCCTCTTGCTGATTATTTCCAAAAGTGCATTATAACGTACATTATCCTCCAAACTCATTACATTCTTATATATGTATCCAACAAAAGCCATACACATACAACGATTTTGTTGAAATAATTTTATCCAAAATAAATGAAAGTTGTAATAAGAAAAAAGAAAGTTAATAACATCAATGAACACTAAAATCTTAAAATGGGCACCAACAAGTACTCTGCGTAATACAACTGTAGAAAAAACAAATTTTTGGGACATGAGTAGACATCCGATAGATAAATTAACAAATTATTTTTATTAAATTACGTATTAATTGAAAGATGCAAATCATTACCTTCCAAATAAACAGGTAGAATGATTCAATGGCTTCATTGCTTTTTAGATCAATCGAGTTTGCTTTTTCCCAAAGTATAAAACCAAGAATGCAATGGCCGATTACCTGTTCAAACCAATTACATTATGTGTCTTTTTAGCTCGTAAAGACAAGTATTAGTGCATAATGTACAAGTAATTATAGCATGCATTAAGTTGTTCGATTTGGGTTTAAACTAATCCAAACGAAATAGATAATGTCATGTTTGACAACCATAAATTTACTTGTTTTTTGAGTTTATTGCAAAAATCTTGTTCGGTTAATTTTTGGAAAAGTTACTTGAAAAAATGATTCAACAAGCTCCTAGGGTTTTTACCAATTTTTTTCAATTATACCTCTTATATTTTTACATTTAATTTTCCAACATGTTTTTTAAGATTATTTTTTAATGTTATTTACTATAATAGCTAGTTTTTACCACCCATAGCTAGTTTATTAACCAACAACCATCATATCAACTATTTTGTCAAACACAACATGGACGATATAAGTGTCAAATTTGTGCTTTCACAACAAAACGTAGTTAAAAAGATAAGTTGTAGATTGAATGATAAAATTGGTGGTTATACATTACCATTATCGACCGGATCCAAAAACGAGTTGATGATAACCCAATTAACATAGCCATGCCATATGCCATTTCAAGAAGCCATATACAAATCCAAAACACCTACAAAAATATTCAAACAAAATTTAATTTCAATATAACATTTGATGATTTCTTTCGAATTGGTACAAAAAGTATATGGCAGATACATATTTTCAAGCTCACCCGTTTTTTACCAACTTGCGAAGCAAACGAGGTAATTCCATTTATCTTATCTCCCTCAACATCAGGAACATCCTAAAACTCAACAAGATCAACCTCAGAAAAATGCGTATTAATTTTTTATGTTACTTTTATTGTAAATTAAGACCGTTTACCTTAAATAATGCAATAACGACCGCATAGATGCTCATGAATCCACATACGAAAATGGCATGTTTCGAAAGAAAGAGTGGCCTTACATTTGCATATCTCTGTAATGTTCATCTTAGCTAAATACCCTGATTGTCAATAGCTTGATATTTAACGTTCAACGAGTTTAAGTAAATAACGAACCTGAGCATGAAGGTGGAACAATATGGGAATGATCGCTCCTTGGACCGACCAAATGCACAATGCGGCAAGAGCTGGAATCCTCTTCCATCGTAGTAATGGTATCTGATATACACATATCAAGAAGTAATGACTAACAAGTTAAAATGGGTTTATAGGATCTCCTAATAAAGTGTTTTACAGAACTTATAAACCCTTAAATTTAAATTAGGTTTAACAAATATAACTCAATTTTGTTGCAGTGTTAATTATGAAGCCAAAAAAAGTGATGTTTGAATTATGTTGAAAATACATCAATTTTTCGACTTACATGGACTGAATATGCCGTTCCAAAAGCATACCATAAGAAGAGGCCCAACTTTAGTGGCCAAGAGTTAACACTCCATCCAAGGAAAAATCCCTGAAAGCATTGGAAAACTGTTAGTTCATAGCTTTCCATGTGTGAGTGTTGATGATGATGATTTCTCTAATTCTTAACTTATACCAAAATAGCATACAACGAGGTGAGAAGAACGCCGGTTTTAACGGAAAGTTCACCGGATGCCAACGGCAAATATGGCTTGTTAACCTTGTCGATCTCGATATCTGAAAGTTGATTTATCCCAACAACATACAAATTGGCCAAGCAGCCACCAATGATTGCCTGAAAGTTCATGATGAATTATGAAGCACAAAAAAAGGATCAAGTACAATCTTTCACAAATTAAATTATTGGAATGATGTGAAAAAACTTACCTGAAAAACTCCAAGGAAAAATGATGGTTTAAAATCTGAAAGCTTCTGGACGGCGAGCAAAGAAATTGAAAGGATGGACAAGGCCTGCTCAAAAAATGCCAGTCTTATTGGCTTATAACATATGTTAATTGAAGAAAACCTACGGTCAAGAAATAATTAATTTTAACATAAAAAAGATGTGCATGCGACACATTCAGCGACTGCTTGTCTGTCACTAATTTACGATTGAAATTTGTATTGTTTGAGACAACGCATTATCAATCGTAAATTTGTTCTTGGTGTAAGTTTCTTATGTTGCTTATGTTGTAGTGAAGCTGATATTGCTTAATTGGTTGTACATACAAAGTAGAATGTATACCGTTCCATTGACCGTGTATGCTCTTGAATATCTATAAATAACACCCAATGTAGCTACAAGGGATTTGACATTGATTTGGGGACCAACGGCTCCAGAGTCTTGTGCGTCATGTGAAAATTCAGAGACAACATTTGCTTGAAATCTTGTTTTTTGTCTTTGATGTTGATGAAATTGCGTGTGAACATTTTCATCAATGCTTAGCTTACCACTTTGTAGATGATTCGCTCTCTCAAATTTGACACTAGAAAGCTCAGTTCTAATGGTTTTCCACCCACGAACCCTTGAAAATTCTACTTCTCCATGACCTACAAGAATTTAGAAATCAGTAGTTACAAATTGATCAAGTCTACGAAATTCTAGGTAAGACTTTTGATGCCCTTAATTTGACGTCTTCTACATTTCATGACTAAACAATATAAATAAAGTATTAAAGAAATGAAGAGCCCTTACGAGAAGCAACTGCAGTCTGCACCAATGGATATTGTGAAGAAGATGAAGGCCTTAGAACTGATCTAATCTGCAGGGATTCCATCTGCTTTGCAAGTAAAACCCAACCATGAGAAATCCAAAAGCCTTGCTAGCTTTTTATATGCATAATAATGAAGAGTTGCATTGGTGATATCGAAGAAAATAGTCCATGACGTTGCCTGTTGAAAATGATCCGTTTTGAAGTTTATGATCACAATTTCAAAACAAAAAGTAGGTTCTTGTCCAACTTAACTGACTTCCATCGATAACTCCAACGACTTTACCATATGAAATTGTCAGATTACCAATCAATTTAAGGGTTCAACTTATTTATCAATCACTTATATTACAAAATGTTTGTTTTAGTAAGAAAGACAAAAATAACCCGACATCATTGTACGTAGTGAAAGGGAGGACGAAGCAAAAACCAAATACTATATGCAAATAATTGCACCATCAAAATTAAACCTCAATTAGATGATAACAATGTGCATGATGTCTTCTGGATACTGTCGGCTTCATTTATAAGTTTCTCGTTGTTTTGTATTATCATTCTAGTGGCAGATAAATTATATTAATCGAGACGGCAATGCATCCAATAATAAAAGGTTAAAATATTACGACTTTTTCAATATATCAGATATAATAATTTTGAATGTTGTAGGACGGTGGAGATATAACTATCCCCTTGCATGTATCAAACGCAATTTAATGAAACCTACATATTTCTTATTTAGTAAGTTATATATGATTATTTGATAGTAGTATCATGATATAAAAAATGGCTTGCTCAATAATCTATTAGAAGCGTATTCGTGCAATCCAGCGAGATGTATCTCGATTTTAATATTTTGTTTCACAATAAGGATTGTATTATTTTGAGAAAAACGATAATGTTTTTATATTTGAATAAAAATATAAATTTGAAGACCCATAAAAATTTATACCGATGTTAGTGTCAAATTAATAATTTAAAACATCACGTTTCTTGTATAATTTTTTTAGTTCAATTTTTTAGTATAATTTAATTTACGTTTAATAACACCAAGTAATTTATTTTAGGTCTAATAGTATAATGCTTTTTATAAAAATAATTTTTAGTTCCATTTTTATGATTATTTGATTCAAGTTTTTATTTTAGATTTAATAATATATTTTTTTATAAAGATAATAATTATGTAACCTATTAGAACCTAATGATTATTCTAATTATATTTTAGATTCTTTATATTTAAAAAAAGATGTTCATCTTATATTTGATTACATTTATTAGTCAGTTATACGAATTCAAAACCAATAGCTTTAAAAATTTATATTCATGCATCATTTACTTGTAATCATTAATATTAAGTAATATGTATCATCAAACAATATTTGATGCATTAAAAATAGTTTTTAAGAGCTTTACCCAAATTCTTTATAATATAACTAGAAGTGTATTCGCACAATGCAAGGAAATACATCTCAATTTATATGTTTCGTTTTATTTTGTCATCTGTCGATGTTATAATATGGTATTATATGGTTTTGGAAAAAACGATGATGTTTATATTTTTGAAAAAAATATAAATTTGAAGATATCTTAGAATTCAAAA